TCACTGCGATCTTTCATAAGATAAAGCCATGTCATCCTTGAAAAGTCATCAACAAAAATTACAAAATATTTATAACCATTGTATGACACCACTTTGTTTGGACCCCAAACATCTGAATGAACTAAAGAAAATGGAATCAAAACATGACTACCAACTCTTGGACTAAAGGAGACTCTATGGTGTTTCCCTAGCTGACACGACTCACAATCCAACGGTGAAAGATGACTTAAGGACGGAATCAACAACTTCAGAGCTTTGAGAGATGGATGACCAAGTCTGCAATGCCATTAGAGAAGAGTAAGAGATGACTGAAATGCTACTAGCAGGCCACCACCATCAAGGTAATACAATCCACCTGCTTCATGTCCTCCACCAATTTTCATCCCCGTCTTGAGATCCTAAAACAAACAAGATGAGGGACAAAAGGTTCTAGAACAATTAAGTGACTTCGTTAGTCCACTAATAGACATAAGATTAAAGGGAAACTTAGATACATATAAAACAGAGGATAAAGATAAGGAGTTCAGATCAACATCACCAACACCACAAATGGGAGAGGTAGAACCATTAGCAAGTGTAACTGTTTGGGATGTAGAAGATGGAGAAAAAGAAGAAAATATATCTGAAGTCCCAGATATATGATCCGAGGCTCCAGAGTCAATGATCCAGGATGAGGATTTGGAAGCCAAGCAAACCATACCTGAATGGGCAAGAGTAGTTGTATTTTGCTGAGAAGATGTCTGAAGGAACTTCTCATATACCTCACGTGGTACATTCACCATCTCCTTCCCAGAAGCACCGATAGATGTGGAGGGAGTCTGATCAGTTTGCTGATTTTTATTAACTGTACCACTGCCACTCACAGCATGGTTAGCCCAAGTGTTGGGTGGACCATGTAAACCATAGTAGAAATTAACAATGTGCCCCTCTAATCCACAGTATGTGCATTTCCTAGTTGCATTACTCCTTCCTCTACCACGACCTCCCCCTGACTCTCGACCACCACTACGACCACCAGATTGATGAAACATAGAACCACCTCGATTTCCTAGAAACCCATGGCCACCACCTCCACCTCTATTTCCACGACCTCCCCATCTAGTTACCACAAAACCAGATCTGTCCAAGAGAGAAGACTCTGTAGACTCAACAAATATCCTCCGAAGACGGGCAAACACTTCTTCAAGAGAGGGAAGATCTGAACCCCCCCCCCAATATTTGTGCCTGAACAGGTTCATATTCAGCCTTCAAACCCACTAGGAACCTTGGTACAGCTGATATACCCTAGTAGTATTATCTTGGTCGGAGTAAAGTTTCTTAGCATGGTCCTAGATTTCTTTAGTTGTATCTAGGAACATAAAATTTACACTGATTTTAGGTTCCATGCTATTCCACAACCAGGTCATGATTTGTACATCCTCTTGTTCCCAATCGTTGAACCCTAGAGAATCAAAGGAGGGCTTCTCCTCTCTCACATGTTTTACCTTTTTCTTGGCTTTTAAAAACACCTCCACAGATTTTACCCACGGCACATAGTTCTCACCATTCAACTTAATAGATGTCATTTGAACATTTAAGTAATATGGAGAAATCATAGCACCTGTTTTATTGTCATTCCCATCTCCAGTCAATGCCATCTTAACTAATTCACCCTACTTCACAAAGAAATTGTTGTTACAAAAAAGTATTCACCTTCGAATATTCAGCAGAACTTTACACACCACTACAAAACCCTAACTCACTTTCAGCACCACCGACTTCTTCAAATACACACCACACACCTAATAAATCAAACACCTGTACTGCACATTGTAATCACTCAACCATTAAATCAAACACCTACACTGCACATTGCAGAACCAACTTGTACTCAACAGAACATTGTTCCACCCGAACCTGCTCTCTTCATACCATCGAATAGAGAGCTTCCTACCAATCACCACAAACAACCACTGCACCACACACTGGAGGCATGAAGGCCTCCTACAGAGAAAAATGATCACTCCTTTGCAGCCTTTCCCTTAATCTCCTAGTGATTCTTGGGAAATCGGTGAAACCCTAGAAAAGAGGGTGATAAAAAAAACTGGGTAAACCAGAAAAAAAAAGGCGAGCAGATCTGAACTTGTTACATTCGCTATGATACCATGTAAGTCAATCTTATTCAGTTCAGACCTAAAGTATGATGAGAAGAAGAAGATAAAGGGAAGAAGGGTTCAACTATAGTGGAAAAGTTTTACTCACCTAGCTGACCCACTTGTATTTATATTGTATATAAACTAAAATACAAAAGACTGAATTGTCAAGTATGGGACACATAACTTAAACTTAAACAGAACAGACTATTCACTCTCAACTAGATAGACAAATGACTAAAATGCCCTATACTGTCGGCTCTAACAATAATAAAAAAGACCACGGTATAAACATGACACAGAAAGGGGTTGGAACTAGGGGTGATCATTTCCAGCCCAGCCAAGGCCTGACCCAGCTATAACATAAATTGTATACATTTTTTTTTTTTGATCAATAACACTTTCATTAAATCATCAATAGAAGATTTACAAAAGGAAGACAAACACATTTATCTTCCAAGAGCAACAAAGAACCTCAAGAAAAGTGAGTCCCTTTCTGCCCCTTGTTTAGCTAAACTGTCAGCTAGGGAATTAGCCGATCTTTTAATCCAACGTATCTTAACTTCCATCTCCCACACCAGCCACTTATACCACACACATACAAATATATATAATTAAACTCATAGGCCCAAAGCCCATTCAAGGTCCAGCCCATGATCATCCCTCATTGAAACTCACCAAAATGGACCTCTTTGATCAAAAGTCAACGTTATCGTATAACTAGAGGGACAAGTATATATCAAACTAAAGTAAACAAACGAGAAAAATCTAGCAAATACTCTAGAGAAGTTTATGCATAAAGTGGTCAATATTCACTTAAGATTAATTTGAACCTAATATTTCATAATACATAGGGATCAGTTAACGGTATAAGCATATGGGAGTGGGGCATCCCCAGTATAGTGTTTATAAACAATAATTACAATGTAAATCAGAAATAGGGATTTGAAGTTTTACCTAGAATTTCACAATTGTCTCAATATCATGAAGTCTCAAATCTAAATCGGTTTGTCTGTGGAAAGTTCATAGTAAAACCTGTTCTTTCATTGTGAAATCAGAAATTGTAAAGATGCTTACTACAAATACAATAGAGTCATGGATGCTCTTGCAAATTTGCTTGTGATTCTCAGCCTGAGTCCAACTTCGCTTGCATGGGAACCTTTCCTTAAAGATAGCATGGTTCAATGCTATAGGAAGGGATTTTAATTGAAGCTTGATATGTCTAATCTTGTAAAAAGATTTTTGAATGTCAGTTTTTGGTTTTAGTAAAACTGTATTGAGCTTTAATGTACTTTGTCTGTGTCTTCTCTTAGATCCACCAACCATTCCCCAAAAAGAAGAGGAGCAAATTCCTAATACATTTTGGTTTTAGACCCCCCCCCCCCCCTGCAAGGGCAACTTCAAACTTTCAGGAACTTATAGAGGTCTTTAATGGTGTTTTAAGAGGAAAAAGAAAAGGAATAAGGAGAGGTGAGTCTCCCTACCCCTTTCGACTTCAAGATTTGAGTTCACAAAACTTAAGGAGACTATGGTGTCTCACAACTGTCTGCAAGGTGTCTCTCTTCACACGAAAGCAAGAATATTGCAGACTCAAGACTTGGTTCTTCACCATTAGTTGGCAAAAGATAAGCAATGAAACCATTCAAAAGAAAGAGGGGCTGCTTGATGAAAAACCAAACTCTAACTCGCAAAGCCAGTTTTTTTTACTAAAACAAATTATGAAAGGACAAAGTTCAAAATATCTTCTCAGTAATTTCACTAGGATATTTCCCTTCTAATCACTTCCATAACGGACCTACTAGATGGACTTCATACCTGGATCATGGATCAGGACTAGACCTAGAGGCAAATTTGGGTTTTAGTTTGGGTTCCATTGGAGATGGCTAAAGTGTCATCTTGATTTCTATAAGAAGCAGCTGATGCCTTATCATCCTTAATAAAGAACTATAAACTATACCTTTTTTATAAGTACTATAAACTATACCTTAGATTCATGATAATTGGATTCCGTTGGGGGTGGCTAATTTCCCTTGAGACACTGCTTGTTTCACCATAAATAACTAAAGCTCTACGTGTTTCATGATTTCATTATAAGAATTATCCAAAAGATGAAACTACTTATCACCTAAGCTATACATAGGAACATTAAGAAAATTACGCCCATGAAAAGAACAGCATCTAAAACCTAGACACATTGACTGGATTAAACCAAACAGGTTTTGAATCCTTTCATAGATAAGAGACAAAGCCAACCTSCATCGGATGATATCTTCCATTTGGGTTGGTACAGAATTGAAAGTCAAGACATAAATTTTAGTAATATGTATTTAGTTATTGGCCTCCTGCATTCTTCTGTTGCTCAATTCCTAAATACATGCAGACACTATTTATGAAAAAAATGGCCAATCACATGCAACCTTAAACCAAGTAATTAGATATTAATTAATCGAGCAAAATGTTTAGCTTCATCAAGAAACTTATTTCCACTACATTGAATTAGAATTACACAATGTCACCATCATATCCAGTCTTCGTTTTTATTATCACTTCAATTAATAAATAGTGAATTTCAGTTAAAAATAATAATAAAAAGAGAAACAGAAAGGGGAGTAGTGAATTCCATTAAGAAGTCATATCAAAATTATCAGGATATCCCTTATTCCAACTCCTTGAAAATTTTCTTTTTTACCTCAACCTTAACCAAGGTCCCGAGCTATGATAAAACTTCATGCTACCAAATAACATCAAGAATTCAGCCAATGCCAAAAATGACCAACTTCAAGAACTTAGCAGAATCAAAGTTAATTAATCAGAAAACATATACAATTCCGCAAAGATAACAGATAAAACTGGAAGGACAGAAAATACCAGTTTGGCTGAGATAAAAAGGCAACCAATAGAGGAATGTGTACGCCACAAGCTTTGAGAAGAATAGGCACAACGCAAAAGGTATCACTCCAGGTATGAAACAAGCTTCAAGAAGCCCAACTGCACTACCTCTACTCATTGACCCAGCACGTTGGGTTCTCTCTCCATCCCCTTTCCGTATTTGAGCCTCTTCATCTTTGGGCATTGTCTCTACCTTCGTATGGGAGTCCAATCCATACGGGCAAGGAATCCCAACATCTTCTGGATATGCAGCCAAAAACAAGCAAATCATTATCCCTCCCAAAAAGATCAATGCACCAGGAAGTATAAAAGACCAGCCCCAGCCATACTCCAGAACACTAGCGGCAAGAAGGGATCCAGTGATATTACCAATAGATGTATGAGCATTCCAAATACCCATTATCAAACCCCTCTTTCTCTTCCCAAACCAATTACCAATAACAGCCACAACAGAAGGCCACCCAGTAGCCTGAAACAATCCGGCAACCATTTGCATTAACAGATAAAACCAGAAGGCATGGATATTCCAAAAGTAACCCAAACCAAACAACCCAATAAAAATCCCACTTCCAATCATCCCCGTCGTCAAGAAGAGACGCAGGTCGAGCGTGTCTCCTAGGTGCCCTGCCACATACATTCCCATGGAATAACAAGCAAGAAATGCAACATCAATCTCTCCCAACTTGACAGTGCCATCTTTTTTATTGAAAGGGGCCCATCCCTTTGGATACACTTTTGAGACGTTAGCAACCACAAATTTCTCCTTGATAAAAAACTCAGAAAGAGGCCAGGGATTAATTGGCTGGCCAAGCCTGACAGGCTGCGGATCTAAAACACTCTTAACAATACTGGTGGGTTTCCTGGAAGCATGGTAGCAAGCATATGCTATAAAAGTAAGGAGCAGAACCGCATACCTGTACGTAGTGAGGCTCCAATCCCTGCCTCTTAGGCTCCTTAAGAGCAGGATTCCGGGCGGAATCCCCCGCCTTGTATTCAAACCTTCCGACATCTTAACAAGTAGAACCCTGCAACGGGTTACTTCTGGTTTTACACCAAAAGTCTAGAAGCAACAAATTAAGCCCCCAAGCACCAGCTGAAAAGCTGAAAACTTCTTCAAAGGAAACGAAAGCGCCTAAATCAGCGCGAAATATTCTTCGCTACTACGTTTTGATTGTCAAAACCAAATTTTGATTCCAGTGAAAGCTCCTTCTCCTAAATCATGTATTATGTGGAAACAAACAACCAAAGAAAGCAAATTCTAGATAATCTAATCCACACACTTCAAGAACATAAATAAGCTAACAATCGAAGACAAGCAGACGGGAAATATTTCGATCATCTCAATCTACAAACGTCGTTCTACCAGACAAGACAAAGTATGCAAAATTAGGCAAGCGAAGAAATTTATGATAGAATTACATTACATTTTCGGTGATTGCGTCATTCTCTTCAAGGGTGAAACGGAGGAAAATGGCGAGGAATGTTGATAATTGCTTGAAAACGGAGGAAAACGGTAATGGAACAATAAATGATGAGCGACGTGGGCGAAGGAGAGAGAAACTGAGCGTAGTGCGTAGAGACTCGAGAGGCTACGAGAGAGAGAGAGATAAGTAGGTATCAGTTTTCATCAAATGGTGGCAGGCCAACGTGGCTGTCTCCGGGGATTTGAAGTTCTTAGGGCTGCAATTCGCGCCACGAAGTCGCTATCCCTCCTTTCTTTCTTTAATTTTGTTTTTGGGAAAGTTACTCAAACCCGACCTGGGCCTCAGCGAGCGCTCCTCACACCCACATTCCACCGTTTATTGGGAATATCTCTCATTGATAACAAATAAATCCGATAAATGTTTTCGATGTACGCTGTAACAAGGTCGGTGTAAATGTAAATAGCGTTAGAAGATCCCGAGATCCGGACTCAAACCCTTGCATGCATAGCGCCACGCAGTCGCTATCCCCTTCCTTTCTTTCGAATTGGGCTCTGCACACAGGGCGCCTCGTGCGTTAGAAATATTTCACTTAAATAATTGGGTAAAATCATAAAAACCTTTTCAATAGTTTCATTTTAATAAATACCTTTTCTGAATTTTTGAAAAATTCAACAAAAACCTCCATTTTCTCACTGTTTTAGACGGAAAACATTAAATTGATACACTAATTTTTTTTCTAAATACTTATTCTATACCCTTTTATAAATTATTTTGCATACAAAATTGCTGAAATAATTTCATTTTAACTGAATAAAAACCTTTTATAACGTATACAAAATTATTGAAATATATTTTTTTGATGAATTAAAATGGGATTATTTCAATAATTTTGTATGTAAAATAATTTATAAAATGGTAGAATGGATATTTGAAAAAAAAAACGGTGCATCAATCTAATGTTTTCGTCTGAGACAATGACAAAAGAGAGGTTTTTGTAGAGTTTTTCAAAGTTCAGGAAAAATATTTATTAAAATAAAGCTACAGAAAAGGTTTTTATGATTGTCAAAAACTTTAAGGAGGTTTTTTATATTTTATCCTAAATAATAATATATAAATATTACAAATGTTCCCAATACCGAATCAACTCCTCACACTTGGGCGCCTCAATGCATGGTAAATCTGGTCTCCAAGTGTGAGGAACTGATCCGGTTCCACAATGAGATGTACCTATCAAGTTGGTGTGAGGCAATGTGTGACAAGCAAATCCGGTCTCCTTTCTTTCATTATAAGGTATAGTCTTAAATCATAATTTTAATTTTTAACGTCTCTGTTATAACGATAATTATGGAAAAATGTGCATCTACATAATGGAGTTTTTTTGAATAGGTTAACGTTACGGTAAATTATAAAAACCCCCGTACTATCACCGTGAGACAAAAACCCTCTACCGTTAGTTTTTAGTTGAAATTTACTGTTTTAATCCCCATACTACCCTTACAATAAATATTAAAAAAATTGGGAGAAAAACACTATTATCTTCTCCGACGACCTTGCAATACAAGAACAGCAGCAGCGATAAAGAAGGGGCATTGTCGGCTTTGGCCACCACCACATCCGGGAATTTCTTCCAGGCTTCTTTTGAGTTCTGACTAATGTAGATTGTATTTTTCTTTTATGTTTAGAAAAAATGGATATTAATTTTCCTGTAAACTTCAACCTCCATGTATATATATTTCTGGACAATCGGCTCTTCTTCCCTTGGCCCTTAGTCCTTACCTTTCTTTGTAAACGTTTACTTCCCAGCTTTCTTCTATAAAATTTCATTTTTTTTCAAAAATTTTCTCCTCGCAATATCCTTTCTTGAATCCAAATTTGTTTGTGAAAAAGAAGAGCTATTCATGAATTCCTGCAAAAAAGACTGTAGATTGTCTCCTTAAATCCCCCCTAGTCATCGTCTGCTTTTTATTTCTCTCTGCGGAAACTGAAGTTCTTGTTGTATTTTATGAGAACTAGGCACTGACCGTCTGTGAGGAGATAAAGAGAGACCAACTGCTCAGAAACCCACTTGTTGCAATCTCCGTGATCTCATAGATCTACGAGATACAATGCCCCTTCTTTGTTGCATTTAGATTCCCCCTTTTGGTTAGGTACTGACAGTCTGTGAGGAGATAAAGCACTGTTCATCTTCTCCGTGATCTCATCCAGATTCCCCCTTTTGGTTAGTCTATTTAAGGCGGTATTCCTGGGCCTTTCCTTGCATGCGTTGATCTTGATCGGACTCGGTTCTTCGTTTTCTGTCTATATACACCTATTTCATTTCTTCATTCTTTTTTGTGCGCGTGTTGTACTAACTTGGATCTCCACATCCCATGGCCCCTAGTTTGATCAAAGGATCCACAGACCTTATTGGTCACCGACGATGGCCTGCCATCGTTGGTTACTCTCAATGGTTCGAATTTCATTGCCAACGGGCACCCCATCCTCACCGGTGTCCCTTTGGATATTGTAGCGACTCCATCTACGGGACAAGGCAACAAACACGGTCGGTTGTTATGTGGGTTTTGATGCCTAAGAATCGAAGAGTAGGCACGTCGTCTCTCTAGGCAAGCTCAGGGGAATTAAGTTCATGAGCATCTTTAAATTCAAAGTCTGGTGGACGACGCATTGGGTGGGAGACAAAGGCATCGACGTCGAACACGAGACCCAGATCATGATTCTGGGCAAGTCGGACTTCGGTCGTCCTTATGTTCTGCTGCTTCTCCTCATTGAAGGTTCATTCCGTGCTTCTCTCCACCCAGGCGACGACGACAACTTGGACATTTCTGTAGAGAGCGGGTCGGCACAAGTGACAAGCTCAAGCTTCAGGAGCTCACTGTACATGCATGTCGGAGATGATCCATATAGTCTTGTTCAAGACGCAATGAAGGTGGTGAGGGTACCTAGGAACCTTCGGACTCCTGGACGAGAAGACTCCACCAGGAATAGTAGACAAGCTTGGTTGGTGCACCTGGGACACCTTTTATCTTAAAGTAGATCCTGATGGAGTGTGGGAGGGGGTGAAGGGTCTGGTGGAGGGCGGTTGCCCGCCGGGGCTGGTGCTCATCGACGACGGATGGCAATCCATTTGCCACGATGATGACCCATCTTTGTCGCCGCTGTTGTTCCCTTCGAATATTTTTATAAAAACGGTAGATCTAAACAGAAAATTAACGAAAGGGGGTCTTTGTGAGAGACCCCATAGTATAGGGGTGTCTTTATAATTTACCCTTCAATTTAATATTTGTAAAGAGGCACTTTTTTTTTTGTTCATTCAAAGGACTACACAAGGGGAGTAGACCTACCAAATGCATAACCCATTAACCCCCAAACCAAGAAGCACTTCTACGTACAACTTTTCATAACTTATAGTATTGGGTGGGTCCTGATTGACGACCGATAAACCAAGTCACAGTGCGCCATTCATAGCATCTACGGTTGAAAATGGGCCTAGGGAATGATGATAAACATGTGACCATCTTTATTGATGGGTCTTAAATTGTGAGATCATATGCCAAAGTATGTAGACGGGGAAAAATTTTGCCACGTGGTAATTATAAAAAAGAGTGTAATACTGAAGACATTATGATACCTAGAAAACCGAAACCCAATTCACCTCTAGCATATTCACAAATCTGTTTAGTATATTCCAATGAGAGAAGAAGTCTGCCATAAAAGAAAAATGTGAGAGGAAAGAGCCATAAACACAAAGTCATATCATCCCCTTAACCATTTATGGGATATGAGGAAGAGAGGTTTTTTATTGATTACCTACATTTTAAGATATATAAGGCCCATTTGGTTCGCAGGAATAGGGGTCATTCCTATTCTGATTCTAACTGTTTGATTGATAGAATTAGAATCTCATTTTTATTTCTACTCGAATGCCATTTTTCTATTTGAGGGAATGGTCATTTTCTACCCTTTTCATGGGAATAAAATCCTATTCCTGATTATTCTAATTCTCATTTCTATTCTTATCTAATTCTAAAGGATTTTGATTTTAGTTCTAATTCTAACTATAAACCAAACGGACCCTAAAAGTGAACTTTTGGTACAATTTTGTAAGATCAGATTAAGCTTTAATTGAATGCAATGGTTATATGTTCTGGAATCAATGATGACAACACATGGAATTTGATGATTTTTTATAAGTTGCATGACTAATCATTATACCCTGAAAAGCATTTTTATATTTTCATCACACCAAAATCTCGTGTTCTTTTACATTGGCGTGGACATAATGATTGGTCCCACAGCCTCTAACATATTTATCAAGTTTAACTAATTTGCTCTCTACCAAAATGTGGAGTCTATGAATCACTTGTTTCTGTCAAGGGTTGTTTTGTTTGGAAGTTCTTGGGGTTTTATATTATTGATCCATTTTAGAGATTGTTTTATCATGTTGTTTGATGCAATAAAATCTTTACTAAATATTATCTTTTTCTTAATTGGTTGGCCATTGCTCTTTACAATATTTGGATTGTCAAGGGCAATAGGGCATATGTTGTACCAATTAAGCCACGTGGTTCGACTCGCTTACACACTAGGGCTATACATCAAAGTAGGCATCCTCGTACCCATAAGCCATGTCATAGGTGGGGTTTTGCAAAAATTAAAAAATAATAATAATAAAAAAAATCTACGGTGGGACTAACCATTTTTTTGTCATTTATTAAAACATCTCATGTAGTTTAATGGATTTACTAAAATTTATCTTATATTTTGTATTTTATTAAAACACTCCTATACTTTACAACTAATTTTACTTAATCAACCTTCCATTAGATTTAAGTGGAAAATGATAGTTTTGGCCTTAGCATATGTTTGGACCAATTTAATTTAGATAAAAATATAAATGGAAATGTCACTCTTGTCGCTAATAAAATATGGGCTACAACTTTTTTCAATCAATTTTATTATTTATTTGAAGAAGGAAGACATTAGGGTTGTATACAGGTTCGGTTTCACTTACATTTGCCAACTAAACCGGTACTGTCAGTTTGTATATTTCATTAACCCGACCAATATGTATATAAAACCGTTAAACCGATTTTGAATGTGTTTTGGTCGGTTTAATCGGTTAACTGAACTAAAACCAATCTCTTTCTTCTCGAGGGAACTCCTTCATTTTCAACAACTCAGTCGCCTTCATCCTTGCCAACATCCCACCATGGCCGGAACATGAATATTGTTTTTTTTTTTTTTTTTTACAGAAGCTGCATACATTTTATGATGTGGTGGTGATGG